CTCCACTTCAAAGATAAATTCACCCGGCAGAACCCTGGACTCATTCAGGTGAAAAACAAGAACCTTTTATTGGGATTGCCCAAAGCGCCCTGATTTTTACCCTTGACAGCTCCTGGGTCTGCCAGGGCCACAGGCCACATTCTCCTGCACCTTCAGTGACTGGCTGCACCCCACCAGCTCATTTGCACGAATCCCGAGACACCTTCAGCAAGAGCCCCTTTCGTCCCCGAGTTTAAGGAATGGCACGTGGGCTTATTGCCCACTTTAGGCTGGATAGGATGGCAGGGCTGCAAAGACGGCTGTGGCCACAAATAACCCTGACCAAGTATGGAGATGGGGGTCTCCAAAGAACCAGACCACTGTCACAGCTCCAGTCTCCAAGTGTGCTGAAGGAGGGTGCATCTTTGAGATCCAGAATAATAAAAGAAGTGCATCCCGAGATTGCACTGTCCTTCTTTATGGTTATACAGAGGTCGAAATGTCTGGGAGGCAGAGATAACTTCTTTAAAAAAAAAAAAAGTGTATATATATATATATATATATATATATATATATATATATATATATATATATATATATATATATATATTATTGATGTTTTTATAGAGAGGAAGGGAGAAGGATAGAGAATTAGGAACATCGATGAGAGAGAAACATCGATCACCTGCCTCCTGCACACCCTCTACTGGGTATGTGGCCCGCAACCAAGGTACATGCCCTTGACCGGAATCGAACCTGGGACCCTTGAGTCCACAGGCCAACTCTCTATCCACTGAGCCAAATTGGTTAGGGCTAGAGGTAACTTCTTGTGGTATAAACAAAGTCAGGCACAGAAAGAGGAAAGAATTAGCTTTGGTTTCTAAGTTTTGTGTACGCAATTGGTTTTATTTTAGAGAAAGAAAGAGGGAGGGAGGAAGGGAGGAAGGAAAGGAGGGGGAGAGAGAAACATTGATTTGATGTTCCACTCATTTATGCATTCATTGGTTGATTCTTGTATGTGCCCTGACTGGGGATCCAACCTACAACCTTGGCGTATCAGGATGACATTGTAGCCAACCAAACTACCTGCCCAGGGTGGGTTTCAAAGTTTTTGTACTTCTTGCTCTTCACAGACATGCAGTCTGGTACTACCTCATTTTACAGGTGAGGACACCAAGGACCGGAGAAGTGAAGTCACTTCTTTGCCCAGAGTCCTTCAGCCAGTTAGCGACAGAGTCCGTCTAAAAACTCAGTCTCAGTCTCCTTAATCCTGATCAGATGGGGTTTCCACGCCTTCATCCCAACTGGATTTCTTTTAGGCTGTAATTTTGAGTGCAGGCATCCTGTGGCCTGCTTCTTTATTTTATTTTATAAGAGTTTTATTGATTTCTAGAGAGGGAGAAACATCGATGTGAGCATAAGACATGCATCGGCTATCTCTTGCAATAGAGCAATCTGGGCATGTGCTCCGATGGGGAATCAAACCAACCACCTTTTGGTGCACAGGATGATGGTGCTCCAGCTGAGCCACACCGGCCAGGGCTGGCTTGTTTCTTTAAAATCTGTGCATGGGTTAGGCTGATGCCTTGCTCATGGAAAGGGTTCAGCCAGTGCCGTTGACTCACTCAGTGGACCTATCTCCCCTCGCCTGCAGCGCAGGGCATAATTCAAATGCTAGTGCCGGATTCCCCTGCAAGGCAGCCTGGAGCCCGTGGATCTTTGAATGGCAGCAAAGGCACCAGCCAGAGAGGACATCACTTGCTCTCACCCTCCCTTCAGGGCAACTCCAATTCCATTCGGAGCCTTTCCGTGTAGGAGGACAAACACTTCTTCTGAGAAGCAGGGGATTAAGGGAGAATGACTGGGGTTTTAGTGGTCCAATGGAGTCTCATTTTCCACAAGAGCTGGTTCCAAGCCCTCTTACGGGGCAAACATCACATGATGTGAAAATTGCCCTTAAAAGTCCTCTCAGACACCCGTGAAGTACAAGCAAACATATCGCTTCTCAGGAAATCCCAGCCAGCTCACGTTTCCTTCAGCTTGGAAGAGGGCTCTGTGGCCTCAGTGGAGCAGCAGAGGCAGCCCCTGGCAGCGGGGCACACTTATCTCCCAGGGTGACACGCTGCTGGTGTGCCGTGAGGCCAGGAAAGGGCTGTCATGCACGTCCCCACGTCACACTCACTACAGGCACCACATGTTCCCTGAGTGGAGGGCAGGAGTCCCATCTGCTACACTATGTCACCGTATACATGCCTCTCTCTCTCCCCTCCACACCCCTCCAAACTGAGTGTGTACCCGTAGAAACTGTGAGATAATAAATGTTTGCAGTTGGGAGCTGCTAGGTTTGGGAATATTTCGTTATACAGAATACAAATGCAGAATTCCAATTCCGGGGCTAGCCGGAGAGGCAGGCTAAGGACTGGGAGCTTGATTCGGGAGTGCGAGCTCTCCCGTGGAGGCCAGGGGGACCGGGCCTGTCCTTTAGAAACGTGTCTGCGCAAAGCGGTCACTGTGGGAGGAATAAGGCTGGCAGGGAGACCAGTCAGGAGACTCTACATTTGTTTAGTGGGGGAGGGGAAGGAAAACAAAAAGAATCCTATTAGAACAACACAGCAGAGATAGAAGATATGTGCAAAAGACAATTCCTAGTAAGGATGGTCAGACTTTGCTCTCTAGCCAGTTTGGCTCAGTAGATAGAGCATCAGCCTGCAGAATGAAGGGTCCTGGGTTCAATTCTGGTCAAGGACGCATGCCCAGGTTGCAGGCTCAATCCCCAATTGGGATGTGCAGGAGGCAGCCAATCAGTGATTCTTACTCATCATTGATGTTTCTCTTTCTCTCTTCCTCTCCTTTCCTCTCTGAAATCAATACTGGTCAGAGCATATTGATTGGGTGCCTACAAATAATGATAATAAAAGTAATACTATTATCAGCTAACATTATTTAAGAGGAGGCAGAGGCCTTTTTTTTATTATTGATTTTTAGAGAGAAGAAAGAGTGGGAAAGAGAAACATTGGTTTGTTGTTCCACTTACGCCTTGTATTCATGCATTTATTACTTGGTTCTTACAAGTGCTCTGAGGATCCTACCTGCAACCTTGGCATATGAGGGGCAATGCTCTAACGGTCAGGCGTCTTCAAACTACGGCCCGCGGGCCACATGCGGCCCACAGAGGAGTCTGATCCGGCCCGCCAGGTTTTTTGGGCCGTGAGCGCAGCCGAGGTGTTACAGTAGGAATTAGTAGTTCATATAGTCCGGCCCTCCAGCTCTCTGAGGGACCGTGATCTGGCCCCCACTTTAAAAAGTTTGAGGACCCCTGCCTAACCAACTGAAGGATCTGGTCAGGGCCCAGCTAACATTTATTGACAACTTAATATGTACCAAGCATTATTCTAAGCACCTGACACGTATTCACATATTTAATGCTCACAATGACTTTAGACAGATGCTATTGTCATCCCATTTTACAGATAAGGAAACCGAGGCACAGAAAGGCTATGTGACCTGCCGGATGCCATTCAGCAGGTGAGCAGCAGAGCCTGGGTTCAAACCGGGGCAGCTGTGCCTTTAACTTCTCTCTGGACTTCCTGGGAAGGGTTGAGAGAGAGAGAAAGGGAGGGGCAGGGAGGGACAGGGTGAGCTCTCAGGTTTCCAGCCGAGGCAATTGAATGCAGCCGTACCCAAAGTAGGAGCAGATGACTTGAAAGAAAGACAGTACATCACCAATCACCTACTAATTCCCTGTGTAGCTCATAGGAGCTGCTAATGGGCTCAACTACAACCCAGCACGTGAAATGTAGAATAACATCCGGACGTGGCACCAGGCCGCACTCCTACCACACTCCAGTAAAAATAAACCTCTCCGTCCAAATATAGAGTGGTTAGAAGTGCCATGTTTTACAGGAGAAGAGGCAGCTATTTGGCATTAAAAATAGACAAGTTTTGGCTTCCCCGCAGATCTGGGCAAGAGCACTGCAATTTCCAAGTGGAAACCCAGATGGATGGGGCGCGCCCCCCCTCAGACTGACTCAGCTATTTAAGGAGCCCCGCAGAAAACTGCAGCCCCTTTCTGGGCCTCAGTTTACTCAACCATAAAAGGAAGAGGTTCGACCGGACAGTTCAATGTCACCTCAAACTCCCGCTGTCTATGGGGGGAGGAACTGGAGTCCACGGCTGGTCCTCAGAGAGCCGGCAGCTTCCTAAATCACAGGGCCCGGCGCTGGCAAGGTGCTTCGGCCCTTTGGCTCCCTGCTCGCCGCTGACAGGACCAGGGGTGGTTTTCCCCGAGGATTTTCAGAACTCTGTCAAGAGCTTTAAATTACCCTCTTGAATCAGACACATTGTTAATCCACAAAGAAAGTTCCCCTACCAGGAGCCTACCTCCTGAGATGCTACCTTGATAAAAGAGAACGGAAGCCTGGCTTGACAGGGGTCGGGGAATGGAGGTGTGGGGGCAAGTCTTTGCACACATTCCCTTCGATCCTGCAAGGCAGGCACGGCCGTGTTCTACACGGGAAGAACCGAAGGCTCAGGGAGATGCCTTCACTTGCCTAAGATCATGCAGGCGATGGAGGCCAGAACGGGATTCAGATCTAGATCTGGATCCGAAGCCCATGTCTTCCAGCCCATGGCACCTCTGCTGTGCTGCTCACTGTGTGGTCAGAAGGCTCTCTGCAATCCAACGGGGGAAGGAAAGTCCCGATGAGCCGGAGCCTCAGGGACAGCTCAGGGGTGCAGCTGGGACACACGTTAGGAATCTCAGATTCTCTAGGGCACATGTGTCAAACACAAGGCCCGCGGGCCAAATCCGTCCCGCCAGGCCTTGCAATGTGGCCCGCACCGCGCTGTCATCACTGCACTCCGCTGCGTTTCCATCACAATGACAGTTTATGACTGTTCAGTAAACCATTCGGCCCGCGATTTAGGCTGGATTTTAGATTTTGGCCCCTTCTCTGATTGAGTTCGACACCCCTACTCTAGGGGGTCCCGCTGCATTTTTACCACACCTTGGAACAGACCGGTTTTGCTTTAAATGGTTTTTATTAAAAACTGTACCAATTGATGGAGGGAAGACACACACACACACACACACACACACACACACACACACACACACACGCTCGAAGAACAGAAAGTCAAATACTCTGTACAGGTTAAAAAACAACAGGTCCCCAGTCCCCTCCCTCTTTCCCTGTCTCTCTCCCAGAGGCAGAGTGCCTAGAACCCAGGGCAGCTAATCTGGGGTGAACAAAATGCTACATTCTCAGCGGGTCTCCCCCGGCAGCCCTGTGGGCCCGGCAATGCCCCCCCAGCAGGGAGAGGCCCTGGCCCACTGCGCAGGGAGGAGCCGTGTGGGCCTGGGACCTGCACAGGCTCTGAGCCCCGTCAGCGTCGAGGCTGGTGCATCTCTGGAAGGGCTGGGCTTTCTCTGCCATTCACTCCCTCGAGGCTCGAAGTCCTCACCAGCCCTGGCATGCCTGCCCACTGCCCAGTGTTCCCGGGAGGCATCGCAGGCTGATAGGTGAACCCCTTCCTCGGGCAAGTCTGGGCAGGCTGGCCTGCCACCAAGGGTCCCCGCCTACACCAGAGGGGCCCTCGGCCTCCTCCAGCCTGGGCTGTAGCACCAATTCCCCGGAGCCCCGAGGGCAGTGGCAGTTTAAGTCTGCCGGCTTCTGCTGCTCTCCACTCCCCCCACTCCCTCTTCAGCGAGTCCCCGCCACAGGCAAGCTTTCACAGACAGTGTGCTCCTTGCTGACGAGGACAGTCAAGTGGCCCCCAGTCTCCTTCCCAGATGACGTCAGGCAGATGGAGGACCTGAATGGGCCACCCCAGGCAGGAGCCACCCTGGGACAGGGCCTGGCTGCAGGAGACAGTGAGACAAGTCGGCCGGGCCCCTCTGAGCACTCGAACCCCACCACACCAGCTCCGAAAACAGGCCGCCTCCCCTGGGGGCAGGGAGGTCACTGGGAGGTGATCTTTTCCTCCTGCCTCAGATGGAGCAGGAGGCGGCCAGCTCTTCAGCAGCCCAGACTTCGGGCAAGTCAGAGGTCTGGCCTGGGGGGATTGTCTCCCCACTTCTGTCTGTAGGCTTCCAGAAACCCCTACTCTGGGGTTCTGAATTGGAAGGGCTATTTAGACCCTGACTAGCAGGCTTCCTCTCCTCCAGGGCATCTCCGCAACGGGGAGGGCGGTTTCCAGTCCCGCTCCCACCCCCATCCATCAGCAAACCACCAAAGCTCCACAAGTCTTCAGCTGGTTACAGGTCAGGACCCAGGTCAGACTCCCCCTCCCTCTCAATGGGATTCTCCACCCCCTCACGGGAGACAGCCCAGCCTCTGGGGGTGGGGGTGGAGGGCGGGGGTGGGAGAGAGGCCCAGGGGGAGGAACATGTCTCCGGAGGCTGGACTTGAGGAATGTTCAGACCAACTCACCAGGCAGAGGGGGAAGGGGCGGGACCTCGATCACTAGGCCAATTGAAAACAGCCAGCCAGGAGGAACCTCTCTCCTAGGGCTATTCTGGGAGTTACCCCCTGGGTTTTCTGGGGGGTGGGAAAGGAAGGAGGTCTTGAATGTTGCCCTGGCTTGCTCTGGCTTCACGGGTGGAGATAGTGCGGCCGGACCATCTTCCCCCTGGCCCATGTTCAGATGGGCTTGCCAAACGCTGGGCTCAGTTCTCAGCACGGGCCCTCCTGGGCGGGGCAGGGTCCCTGAAGTGGATGGCTTTGCCTCAGCACCAAAGTTCAGACCATTTCTTTGCTCTCTCACTCAGCTCAGGTGAAAAGTCTGCCAAGAGTTAAAAAATGGCTGGTAGAAATATTCGTGGTTTTCTCGTGTGTTCCACTCCAGCACCCATACCAGCCACTGCCGGCCAGGGCCGTGGCCCGGGAGAGGGGGAAGCACCAGGCCCTCACACATCGGGAACGGTACTCATCACGACGGCCATCGTGTTCCAGAGCCAGGCCTCACGCCTGTTCCCTGGGTTCCTCCTTGTCAGTGAGAACCCGCCTTCTTAGCAGACAAACCATGGTACACACCCTGAGAATAGAATTCTGGCCAAGGAAAGGTAATACCTCCAGAACATCTAAGTAGAACAAAACGAAGGCATTTGCACAGTTTGAGGTCCTTCTCCTCAGGGTCACTATGAGCCCATAGGCACCTTCACGCAAAGGCACCAGGTTCTTCTGGAAGACACAGCCCCGCACCGGGGCACACAACGTGGCGAGCAGAGCGCGAGCTCGACTTCAGTCTCTGTTCCCTTCCTCTGCAGGTGAACAACCTGCCCCACTGTCCACACAGGTGATCACGGCTTCCTTCAGCAGTCCTGAGACCTCCTCTCCGCAGAACTGGAGGAGCCTGGCTCATTCAGGTGTGAGAGCCTCCTCTGGACTCTCCAATTTCCCGGCGTCGCCCCGGGGTCTTCTCTGCCCAGGAAAGCAGTCTTTTCTTTGGGCCTTGCTTCCCTGTTTAGCACCAATGTTATCTTTCCCTCCATATGCACGCACGACCATTTCATGTCTAGGTATCTGTTAACAGGTTCTGTTGGCCAAATTCTCTGTCTTGTCAGAGGCGGCAGGCTGGCTGCTTTTAATTCTCTCCATTAGCGCCGCGCAGGGAGAGGAGGGAAGTTCGGAGGCAGCTGCGATCCCGCTGCGTCCCAGAGCCCGCCCTGCTGGCCTCGCTGGGAGCGGAAGGAAGGCGGGAGACAGTGGAGCCAGCTTTGACGGTTCCGCACGCTAACCATTGTCCACTGCTCGAAAAGACACACGTCAGCCGGCAAAGTCACCGTGCTGGCTTCTTCCTTCTACCTTTCATACCAGGTGTGAAAAAGGAATGGGAATAAGGAGGAGGAGGTATGTTGTTCCCAAGGAAACCAAGTGGTCTGGGTTCCTCTCGGGCTGACTCTGACAGGTGGGACGGCCACAGTTCCCGTCCCTCTGCAATGCTGCCCCTTCACGCCCTACAGTGCTGATCTGGGGGCCGAGTGCAGTCTGTTGCTGGGTCTTTGGAAAGAAGAGCCCACAAAGGCACAAGCTGCTGGTGGCAGCACGGTGATTGGCTATTTGGCTCATCCATGGCTGACACGCAGCCAGTTCTAGGAAGCCAGAGGTGGCAGTGGTTCTGTACCTCAGGATCAATCCTGGGGCCTCCCAGTGGGACCGAGTCAGGTTTGAGGCCTACACGGAAGTTTGGTTCATTTTGAGGCATGTGTGAGGGGTCCTTGGAGAAACCCAACCCTCCCTGAGGTCTGCTGGAGATGACAGGGGCTGGGCAAGAATCCCTGAGCCCTTGGAGTGGGCACTGGCTGGGCCACATGAGAGCCCAGACATAGGCTGAGCGGCCTAGCGAGGTGGCCGTGCCCAGCTGGAAAGCCCCTCACCAAGGCCCTGGTGGCGATGAGGCGGTGTGACTGTCCGGATCTCGGCTCCATCCATGGCGGAAGGCTGACAGGATTGGTGGGAGCCGGAGTGTGATCCAGCGTCCTGTGGTTTAACTGAGTTCCCGTGGCCGGATGACAGTCCTCTGGCCAGAGAACATCACTCCCTGGTCACCTTCTTCAACAGCCACGGCTGAAGAACCTGCTGGTCAGAGCCCTCGGGGGGACCCGCCATCAGAGACTCATCCGCCTTCACTTCAACAGTGTTTGACAAGGGCCCCCATTCCTGGTCGCGGTCCTGAGCAGGGAAGCAGGTCCTGCTTGGGTATGTCTTATTTACACACAGCGATAACATTTTCAGGTAAGAACAACAACAAAAACGACTTCACAAGACACAGTGCCAGTCCTCGCCGAAGTCCTTCCGGTGGCGCCCCCTTCGAAGAGGGCAGTCCAGCCTCACCTGGGACCTGCCCCGTGCCTGTTCTCGTCTCCGTTCAGGGCGAGGTTATGGAGGAAGAGGAGGAACTGCCACCACATGCGATTTCGGTTCTGCTGGTGCTGAAAAGGGGGGGAAAAAATCAATGTGACTCCTAAACGCAGCCTTAAATGACTTCTTATCATTTCCAATAAAAGTTTAGATCAACATGTCTGGGGCGGCACTTTAATCCTATCAGCGCAGCGAAATGGGGCAGGGGGGGGGGGGGGGGGGGGGGGAGGAGACAAGAGAAGCAGCGAGATAGCGGAGTCCTCCAAAAACAATTGCAGTTTTTAACATTAAAAAGAAAAGGCCAGGCTCATTCCGCCCTGTGCACAAGAGGATTAAACTCTCTCCCCTGCTTGCAGGATTTTCCAGAGTTTAGCCAAGTGCTGCTTTTAATCAGATTGGCTCCCGAGCCCCTCAAACCTCAGCTGCATGAACAACAAACTTTCTTCAGAAAGAAAGAGAAGTGCCCCCCTCCGTCCCCCACTCCAAAGTAACACAGAGAACAAGGGGGAAAAGGGGGGGAGCCTCCATCTGCAAGTGATTTGACACTGTGAAGGTCAAAGGGTTAATCTTCAATTTAAACCACACTGCTGAGGCAGCAAAAATCTGATTTCATCCAGTGCAAACACGCACACAGACAGACAGACTCACTCACACACACACACACACACACACACACACACACACACACTTGAGCGCCTGCCCTCTCTCCCTTCCCAGCATCTCCAGCTCAGCACTGCCCTTTTTATAGCTGCTCTTGACAGTAAGCCATAAATAACCCCTCTTGGAGCGCTTTCCTACTGACTGGAGCCAATTAAACGTTAAGCAAGAACATACTTGAAAACAAAACAAAAACAAAGAATGCACACTACCCTCTGGAGGTTATCCCAGGTCCTACTATCAGGCAGGGAAGCTGGGGGCAAAGGTCAGTGGCTCACAGGATTGTGGCTGGTGCCCCACCCACACAGGTACATTTCCCCGGGGCCAGAAGGGGCCTGAGGGGTGCTGGAAGAGGCAGTCTTTGTTCTCTCTTTGTCTGCCAGGGCAGGACTGGGCTGGGGCCCTCTCCACAGGGTTCTCCGTGGACAGGGGAATAAAAACCTAGTGTGCAGGGGCTCAGCAGCAAGGGCCAGGGGAGCTGGAGCCCTCTCTTGGGCTTTTTAAAAAAATATATATTTTTTTAAATTTATTTCAGAGAGAAAGGGAGAGGGAGTGACAGAAACATTGATGAGAGAGAATCATTGATTGGCTGCCTCCTGAAAGCCCCCCACTGGGGACCGAGCTAGCAACCCAGGCATATGCCCTTGACCGGAATCGAACCCTGGACCCTTCAGCCCATAGGCCAATGCTCTATCCACTGAGCCAAACCAGCTAGGGCTCTTGGGCTGTCTTTAACCACACAGCCCTGGCCACCACCAGGAGACTACTCCCCAGACAGGAAGAGTACAGGGTAAGTCAGTAGCAGAACTGGAAAGTGAGTCCAGTTCTTCGCAGGCGTCCTCAAACTTTTTAAAGTGGGGGCCAGATCACGGTCCCTCAGAGAGCTGGAGGGCCGGACTATATGAACTACTAATTCCTACTGTAACACCTCGGCTGCGCTCACGGCCCAAAAAACCTGGCGGGCCGGATCAGACTCCTCTGCGGGCCGCATGTGGCCCGCGGGCCGTAGTTTGAAGACGCCTGTTCCAGAGCTTCACAGGTACCTCGGGCCTGGGAAAAGCAGGCAGGCTGCCGGGTTCCCTGTCGCTCTGACTTAGGCCACTGAGAGGAGAGAGGAGAGGTGTCAGCTCAGGCTGGCCTCAGGGCCCTGCCAGCCCAGAACAGAATGCCCCGTGCCTGCGGCAAGAGTACTCTTTCCCCTGCAGAAGGAGGACTGGAAAACAACGTGGAGGCACAACCACTGCAGGGAGGGGCAGGAAAGCCGGGCTGTGCCACGGAGGAGGCCCCGCAGCCAGCCGCTGGGGAGACTGATAGCTTCCTCGCGTTGTGTAAACAAAGATGAGTAAAAAGAGGAAACACACCCGGCTTAGCAAAATCTGGTTATAGTAAAACAGCGTGAAAATGGACTCAGCTGCAAACCTGAAGACGCAGGCCTGCGGCAGCTGGGCCGAGCACCCTCCCTCCCTCCCCAGCTGCTGCCCAGGACAGGTGCAAAGGGCATGTCCTGGAACAGGAGGAGATTCCAGGAAAGGCCCGGTCCCTGGAGAGGCCAGTCTGCTGGAATCCCGTCTCCTCAGGTGCCTGTTTGAAAAGGCCAAGTAGCAACAACGGCCATGACAACAACAATAATAGTAACACTGAGTGGGCAAGGCTCTGTTTTGAGTGTTTCACATCTCTTCTCTCCGAGTGTGGTCCACGCGCCAGCAGCTTTGGCATCATCTGGGAGCTCAGAAATTTAGATCTACTAAATCAGAGCCTGAACCTATAACGAGATCCCCGGGTGACTTGGAGACAAATGACACATACATTAACTCCTTTGGTCCTCTCAACAACCCGATGAGCTAGGTGAGTGCTGTCATCCCTATTTCACAGAGGAGGTCACTGAAAGCGTTAGGTAACTTGGCCATGTAGCTAGTATGTGTCAGGGATTGGACTGAGTCCAGATTATCTGACCCTGGAGCTGTATCTTTACCCATTGTCACTGTGCTCCAAGTACCACCATATACACCTTTCTGTATACCAAATTAACCCTCTATTCTCCCTTCTCTAAATCGTCTCCAACCAGCAATTCAGCCAGGGATGGGAGATCACAATTCTATGATTTGGGACCTGGTCCAATACCATTTCTGTATGCCTCAGTTTCTCCCTCAATCCTCTAATAGAGGCCACCTGCTGCCTTGAGTCTCTGGGAATAAGGCAAGGCCAGCAGCCTCACTCCCATCACTGGGGAGACTGGAGGACCCAGGAACAGCTGTGGCCGGAGAGTGCTGTCAGATGGGCAGGCTGAGGTCTTCTGGGAAGCACAGGCCGGCCCAGGCATAGGTGGGCACGCAGGTCCACCTTCAGGAGGGACCAAGGTTCTGTGCCTCGGCCTGTGAAGATCTCAGGGCTCATGAACTGGCAAGGAAGGCTCTGGTCCAGGAGTGAGAGGACCTGGGTGTAGGCTGGGGTCTCCCACCAGCCTGTCTGTGAGTCCTCACTTTCTTATAGCTGCATGCTTTTCCCAGGCCAGAGGCACCCAGAATCCACTGAGGTGCTGTGGTACATACAGAGTCCCCGGGCCTCACCCAGACCGATTGGATAGAAATCTCCAGGGAAGAGCCCTAGGAATTGTCTATTAAACAAGCTCCCTGAGTGATAGTTTTAAAATCAGAAGTTAACATGTATTGTATATTGCAGTCATAAACGTAATTACCTATTAACTGTGGAAAACGGGAACACACAAGAAAAAAATAGAAGAGCAAATAAAACCGTCCATGATTCTACAGCCTGGAAGAAAACACTTCATGACCTGGTGTTTCCTTCACGCTCTTCCAACCTCTTCCCACCAGGGTAATGCCTTGGCCAGCTCAGGGGTAAACCCTGCCCAGGTGGTTCTGCAGCCGCCAGGCCACAGACCGGCATTTGGAAACCACTGAGGTGCTTTCCAGCCCTCAGGTTCGGTGATTCGGAGTTTGTCGTCCACAATTACCTTCAGGATTACAACTCAGAGCTCCAACCACTGAATCCAGTGAGCTCGGCGGAGGGTCCGGGCGGGCCTGGAGCACAGGCTGCCCCGCACAGAGGTACATCGGTGGCGTGGCGGCAGCCGTGAGGCCAGCGAGAGCCGCCGGGAACCTGCTCGAGGCCCCGGCAGCCCCCTCTCTGGGCATGGGCAGATGCCACACACACTCCACTTGGCTTTCTCCTGCCGCAGTTGCAGCCTCACAGGGCCCTTTTCTGAGAGGAAAACAAGCTGCCTCACACCAAGTGAATCAAAGAATGCTCTGATTTTGAGGAGCAACAATAAATATTTTTTTAAAAAATTTAAACAAAGGGGCCTGACGAGAAAGGAAAGAAAAAGGACTTAAAGGGAGGCCAGGGAGAGAAACAGGGAGGAGGAAGGAAATGAGCATTGGCCCAACAGGATGAAGTACACAAAGACGCCAGAACGCCAGGGAGCCTGGGTCCTTCCAGGAGGGGATGTGGAGGAGAAGGGGAGAAGGAAGAGGGAACCAGGAAAGAGGGTGCTTGGCTTAGGACCTGCGGGTTCTTGGCACAGCAGCCAGCACATTCAACTCAGATTAATGAGTGCAAACCCCAGAGCAAGCAAGGCCCAGGCTCCCAGACTCAGCCTGAGCACCTCTCAGAATATTTGGCTCAGAGGACAGGCTGCCCATGGACTGAAGGGTCCCGGGTTCAATTCCAGTCAAGGGCACTACCTAGGTTAACAGGCTCAATCCCTGTGCAGGAGGCAACCAATCCATGTGTCTCTCTCACATCAATGTTTCTCTCCCCTTCCATTCTCTCCAAAAATCAATGGAAAAATATCCTCAGGTGAAGATTAACAACAACAACAAAAGAAGTATGTTCCAGAATTTATAGTCAGGTGCCCTCAGGGCGAAAGGGTTGGGCTACAGGGCATGGCAAGCTGGTGGCAATTCAAGCTTACACTGGAAGTATTCAAACTCAGTCTAGAGCGTAGGACCACGGCATGGAGGGAAAGAGCAGAGGTGAATGCCCGAGGGAAGGGGTTCAAACACGGTGGGTAATGATACTGTCTTCAGGTAAGAGGGTACAACCAGGCATTAGAGGCCTAAGGTTTGTCTAACTCAGTCCCCTCTCTCGAGGTGGCCCAGGGTTGAAGGTGTGACTAAACGGGCATTTATCCTGCATAACGGGGAACAGGTAGGGACCCACAGTAGGTATTCAACAAGTATCCACTGGACTGATTACAGAAAAGTCAGCCTAGCAAGATAACCCACTTGTCTGAGGCCAGGAACAACTGATGTCTGGCCAGGCCTAGAGATGTACTAGATGTGATAGGATCAGCCTCTGGCCTGGGGAGAGGCCCAACCAGTAAAAGCCTTTTTTTTTTTTTTTTTTTTTTTTTTTTTTAGAGCTATCTGTGGTGTCTGACATGGTTGGATTACAC